GTACTATTTGAGTTCGAAGATAAAAATTGGATTATCCAATAAACTTTCGACAATGTGGTGGATTTTATTGTAAATAAAAAGTGAAATAAAATAAATGTAACAATAAAAAACTTTTCTTATTACCGAATGAAAAAAACATGAAACTTAAAAACCTACGAAAAATGATCTGCGGCCAATTAAAGTTCAGTACTGTAAAATTTCTTCAGTATTGTAAACCTATTAACTCAACTTCCCTTAAGTTTAAAAATTTAAATTGCAACTAATTGTAACTTCACGACAACTAATTTTTTTTCTTTAATTTAAAATAGGCAAAAAAAGATGAAAATGTTTACCAAATGTGCATCAACCCAAACAAGTCCTATATCTCCTTTCTGTCGTAGTGCAGCTGCTACGCCGCTCCATGTTCCAATCGCACAGCTATGGTCACCCCCAAGAACGAGAAGATCATCGCCCCGTTTAATGATCTTTGAAACTTGTGATGCTAAACGCGTATTCATCTATAATCCAGTTATTATTACACGTATAAGCTATTAATTAATTTTTAGAAATTTTCGTCGAAAACGATATAAATAAGCAAATTACATAAAAATTTTTTTTCATTTTTCTAATCTTTTGTAATTTATAGTTTTTATCAGATTATTTAAAAATTCGTATCCTTTTCAAACATCGTTGCAATGAGCAAACTTTTGTCAACGTGATGTCATATTCCATTTGCATGGAAGTCCAATCTTTTGGGACCAATGAACTGCTGGAGGAGTTTCCAACCTTCTGTTTTCGAAAATATTCATTCCTGAGAAAGCGAAGACTTGATGAGAGACCTGGGGCATATGGTGGATGAAAAACTTCGATATTCAGAAAATTTACAAATTTTTACAAATTGATGAGCTGTTAGCATATTACGAGCTGCTTGCATCTCTCAGTGCCCAGTTCAAATTAAGTATTACAGCTTGAAAATTATGAAAATTATGTAAGATTTGATCACCCAAACTACTCTTAAAAATTAAAATCATGCAATGTTTCTGCAATGAAAAGAAATAGGAGGCCATGGCGAGAAGAGCTCATCATGTTCCCTCAAGATATAGACAAGAAAAATAAGCAACCGCAGATTCATGCGCAAAAAATAACTTATAAGAGCAAGTATTAAATATTGACATCACGAATTCCACGAAGCGCTGATAATCCATGTCCTGTCGGATATTCTTTTATTATTGCTTCCCATTTGTGTTTTATTTTACATTGCTTTAAATATTTCGAATTTCGCAAGATAGATACAGCGTTTTCGCAACCAAGAAATCTGGAAGTAGGTTTTAGTTAGGTTGATTTTTTGACAGCAGCACCACCCGGATTTTCTTAATGTCAGATTTGCATTTGCAGGACTCTTGAATCCTTTCTCAAAACAATAATCTAACAACAATTATTTCATTATTTTTCCCTTACTGAGTATCTATATTATTAATTTATCAGTGTTATTATCATTACCATCAATATTATTAAGTCATTAATCCATTATTATTTTATTATTCGTTGTTATTAAGCATGATTTCTATCCATTATTATTTATTATTATCATTAATTACAGTGTTTTTTTTTCTAAAAGCTTCTCAACCATTTCTAATTAGACCCGCTACGCTTAATCTCTGTCCATTTTTATTGAAAATTATTCTTCCACTTATTTGCCATTTGCTACCATTCGGATGAATCGGATGAAATTCTTTCACCAGGAAGTTAATTGAGAATGCTGCTGTGTGTCTTATTAAAAATCAGAATGTTTTACATAGCACTTCCCAAGCATCTGGATTTCACTTATTATGGCAGGTTTTCTCGGTAAAATACCACTTCAAAATCGTGCAATATTTGCGATATTTCATTGAAATATTATTTAATGGTATTATAAGCACCATATAAAGAACCATATTACTATTATTATTATCACTATTAGTTTATAAACTTTATAGATTACTAATACAATATTAAACCCATTTTAGCAAGGATGCCATTTTATAACTTTCGCCTCAATACATAAAAAATTATTTGCTCATGTAGAAGAATTCCCGTGAAAATATAAAACACCAATAGATTAAAATAAGCCTTTATCTATATAAAGTATTAAAAACCATTATAGAAGCAATAATTAAACAATAATTTAATTGAAATCATTGTAAAAACATAGAATTTAGTAATCAATATCAATAATTGACTAGATTGGAGAGAAATATTTTGCAACATTACGTAAATCGGCAAATTTGTGGAATTGGTAATTCTTGGCTTGGAATGAAAAATCGTGGTAAATTAGCCTTTATGTAAGTAATATATGAACAAAACTTCGAAATTTATCCTCGCTAAAGATTAGAATATTTGTTAAATTTTTAAATTTTGAAACTGGGGTAACTGTTTTTTGGACTTTGCAGCGAATAAAAAAAAGAAATTAAAGAAATTTTTTTAAAAGAAATTTTGAAACATTTTTGAATTATTTAAAATTACCAGTATGATAATCGTTTCATGAATAATAAAAATTGAAAGGTTTCTAAGTTTTTAAAATTTAAAATATTAAAAATTTTGACTTTTATGTACCTTAATAATTGACAAAGAAACAGTGAAAATCTACTAACATTGAAGTAATAAATAAAGTACCTACCTTCCACCACTTCCATTAGCTGAACCAACAATGCTTAATTGAACACATAATGGTAGAGCTTTTGGTGCTATCATTTCCCACTTTATGAATAATCGTAAAATTGATAACAGCGACAATAAACGACAAGATAGCTAGCAATGATAAATTTTTTGTCATATCGAAGTTATATACGTATGTGTATTTCGATTTTGTATTAAGTCCTTCAACTCCGCCCAGTTACTAACTTTAACAAATATTCTATTTTATTTTAGTGAGTCGGTAAATTTTTTTAATTTAAATCTTTTTCTCTCGTTAAGATATTGTTTATTTAATGCATTAAAGTTGGTAAAGTAAATTTTATTTTTTTATCGAAACCTGGAAATTTATGAAAAAAGGATCTTTTCAGGTTGGTCGAAGTTTTGCAACTCACCATTAGATCAAACATTTCAACTAAGTAGATAGAAGTATAGGGGGGACATAACATTTCCAGAATTGATTGATGATTGACGCACAAAACTCTTCCTTACGCGCAGAATATATAGCGCAGAAAATAGAAGTCAAGTCAAAACTTAGCGATTATTTAAATTGACTATTTAACTACAGAAAATTTTTTTTATTTTTTTATGCTAAAAAGTGTTTCTCGAAAACCATTTGTCCTAGTATGATGAAATCTTACATATTTATATTTATAAGATCAAATATGAAATATTAGTCATGTGCAAATCAATCCAAAGCGTAGACACTGAATACGCTGAAAGTGTCCTTTTCACTGCCGAAGAACTGCAACATACACTAAATGGGATGTTGGCAGAAAATTGGTTCTAAGTATAAATAAGACGGAGTTCTTTTACTTATATTATAGATGCTAATAACATGCTAATAATATTTCTAAACTCATCAGTAGTCCTAAAGTGTCTTTAAATATTGCGGATCCATACTGGCCAAGTGAAAGATAAAATTCTAGAATGGACAGTTGCAATTAGACGCCTTCTTTCGTTTCTTTGGATTACCTTGAAAATTAACCTAAAAACGAAAGTTCGCATCTATTGGTTGTAGTCAAAATCCTGCTACTGTCACATTTTTGTTGCCTGCGAGTGGTTGGGCCATATTCTTTGCCGTTCATAAGAAATTTTTGCACGTCTATTGCGCGTTAAAAGCTAGGATAATCAATCAAAGACTGGACTAATACGGTTAAGGGTTTTGAATTCATAAGCAGCTTAGTCATATACGGGCTTAGCGGATTCCCGACCAACGCACCATGTACAGAAAAACATTGGGGTGGAGCACGGCGATTCCAATATATTTCCAATATATTCCTTATTTTCTTCGGGAATCCGCTCCACGTATGTAAACTTTTAAACTTCCTGCCCTTTAAAATTTTCCCAAAATAAACCCAAAATGATTATCAGTGGAGCGATCCAAACAAGCGAAAATAATAAAATATTCTTGGACCCCATAAGAATTAAACATTACCAGTGACAATCTACAAATATTTTTTATCGATAAGAAACTCATTTATTATTTCTTTATCAAAAAATTATCAGTTTAACTGGCCAGTGCTAGAAAAAGATTTTTTCGCTTGAAAGACATGAAATTAGAAGCATATCTTCGATTTTAATGACAGAATTCTTCCCACTAAAGTAAAGGAAACAGCATTAATGAACCAAACTCACACTTGACTCTCATTAAAACATCCCACTCATCTGAATAAGAAGAATTCCTTGGAATCTTTTCCTGATTTTATTGGCAATAACCCTGATATATAAGCCAAATATTAGTTAATTAAGGAAATTTGGTGGACCACACGAAAACCACGTTTATACTTAATTATTTATATGCAGTCCACATATATTCTCCAGCCAGCAGTCACTACCAATTTGTCCAAACTTGAAGTAATCATTTTTTAGATAAAAAAGCGTTATTCAATGACGGATTAATATAAACCCATTCATAATATAAACGCTTTATAACTGGCCCATGATTTCTTTTCACGATGATATTTTATATTACAAATAACTTGTTTAATAGAGTACTGTATTTTTTAAAATAAATTATAAAAAAATAGGAAAATAAGTATGCTCATCATTAGTTTTTATAGCGATTTACGACTCAGTTCTTTTTCTCTTGAGTGTAAACCTCTCAATAATGAAATCTCGAGATCCGCGGGCAGCAATTTCTGTAACTTTCTTGCGAAATAGTCTAATTTATTCATAAAATATATATATATATATATAAATGTATATATATATATATACATTTCACTCATGTACAGGCCAGAAAAAAGATTTTTTCGCTTGAAAGACTGTTAGTAAGTCTAATTATGAAATTAGAGGTATATCTTCGTTTCTTATCAGACTTTCCAGTGAAATTTTTATTCATTTAACAATTAAACGTTTATAACAGAGTAAACTCGAAAAGTTCGATTAACAAAAACGAGAATAAAATATTTCCTAGCCTCTTCATCTTGATATCTGACACGTTCACAAAAACGTATTTCATTTCCAGCCAGCCAATCTTAAATTTTTTTTATATAGAAACTATTTTTAGAGCTACTTACCAACTTTTAAATTATTATTTACCTGCTTCTGATAAATCTGAATCAATTTTTTCTCCATTTGTTATATCTATAATGTCATTGGTACTACAACCTGTTGATGGAGCCAAGCAAATACTATCTTCCAATATTATATAATCAATATTTTCATTTTGTAATATTTTATTAACCTCATGCATTGATTTTCGCCCATACACCTTCAAAAACACCGAGCGAATATATTTCTTAGGTAAAAATAAATCATTATTAGTATTAGTATATATTTTGAGCTGGAATAATAAACAAATGTTATAAGGCTGATCGAAACTCTTTCGCCTCATTCCTTTATATGATCGTAAATTTATTTAGTAAATATCGATTTAACCTAAGATGTTGGAACATTTGCTATGGAGAGTTATAAGCGATTATCTGCGAACACATATGGAAATTAGTTTATTTCAGCAATATACTAACTTGATATACTCTTCGTGTCCGATCTCTTAACCATTTGTCTTCGAAATGTGGATGATTAGCCAATCTTCTACCTGTACAAGCTTTAATCCCAGCCATTAACTGCATACTGCCTGTCCATGAAGAATTAGGTAACGTAGAAGACTGTATCCATTCCATCAGCTCAACTGTATCGGGATCATAAAATTCCTTTAAAAATTTTTTAAAATGAAATTTAAAAAGAATGCATGGTGACTTTCAGTAAACTGCTTTCAACCGCTTTTCTTCACCAACAACAAGTCGATTTTCACTCGCTGAACATCAATTTCAAAATAAAAAAAGTCACCATTATCTAAAAAATGCTAAACACATATAAAACGAAAACAATAGCGATTTAAGCCGCACTTTTACCCATAGCCAATAAAAGTAATAAATTTATTATTTTATACACTAAGGACTAATTGGTGGCTAAACATCATACATTAGGTGATTTGTTTTTGAGCTTATGTTTAGATGGAATTAAATTTAAAAATTGAAACCTGCTCATTGGCCATTTGCACTTTGTATGTTTCGTAATGACTGGAAAGTAGAGCAACAAATATAGCAAATGCGACTACTTTTGTTGGTATCTGTCCAATTAATTTCTCCAACCTTAAGAAAAAGACTATTTCATTTCACTATGATGAGATATTGACAATTTGGGTTAATATGAAAATTTAAATTTGAATCATTTTAATAATTCGGTTTGATAATGCAAGAAATTATTTTCAAAAAATTTTCATAGATTCTCATAGCTCCTCGACCGATAAATATTTATTTTCTTATGATTTCAGACTTGCATCACATTAAAACGATCTAAAAACGATCTAATAAAATGGTGTTTCACAAAGCGGAATCTGAGAGCTCGTCAGGTTAAAAGTCTTCTAAGAGATCCTCGAAATCAAAATTACTTATAGTAAATTATATAGTATATTTAATATTAATATAATAATAATACAGTATATTTAATATTGTAATTATATAATATTAATATTTAAAATCAGATTTGTAATAAAATCAGATTTTATTACATAATATTTAAAAATTCCCCGGTTTTAATTTCTAATACAGAAAATGTCGGCAGATAATTCTAAAACTCTTACATAGTTCTTGGATCTTATCTTCTTTTTTTGGATCAGGATATTCGAGAATAAAGGCATAAAGTTGGAGCATAAAGTTTTATTATTGATATAAATTATAAATTAATAACAGAATAAAAAGCCACATAATTCTAAAGGTGAATTTTGATTTTTTTTTTCGAAAATTTTTATTATTTCTAATTATTAAATTATTATTAAAATTATTTCTAATTACTTTGCAGCAAAATTCTCATTTATGGCCATTTGTTTTAATCGTTTGCTTTTTTCGCTTCCTTTCCCCAGCACCTTTCATATTTTCATTTTATCATCTCATTTAATAAAGTGCATTTTGCAATTTTTTAAAAAGCAGAGCACTTACCATTAATGGTTACATTAGACTCGCTCCGCTGGATTGTTGGACTAGAAAAATAGGCCAGGGAACCCCTTAGCGATAGAGATAAAGGTGAATTGCCAGCACCAACCAGATTTTTGGATGACTGAAGCGAAGCAATTCTGCTCCCAATTCTTAAGAAAGGTGATAGGACACATGCGACAATTATCGAGGAATCAGCCTACTAGACGTCTCAGTGAAAATTTTTGCTTCTCTGTAATTCAACAAACTTATAGAAGTACAGGACAGCAAGACGTGCCCTAATCAAGCTGGTTTCAGACCGGAGCGCGGTTTTGCTCTCCAGATATTCACGTTAAGAAGGGTGTTAGAACATCGCTTTATATATTTGCAACCCACTGTCACGTGTTTCATCGACTTTGCTCCTGCTTTTGAATTGATAAAGCGGCGCTTTGGAGAGTGATGCAGCTCGACGACATTCCAGAGAAGATCATTCGACTCATAAAAGCATTTTATGAGCGCATATTGGGGCAGGTCTATGTATATGGGGAGCTGATAAATTCTCCTTCGAAATAAAAACAGGGTCCGTCACGGCTGCGCCCTTTCCCCTACAGTATTATGCAATAGACTGGATAATGGACACTGCTTGTCGCACTCAAGAAATTATCTAAATTAGTCCAGAGCATCGTATCTCGAATACATTGATGATGTTTTTGCTGATAATTATGAAGAAATGCGAATAATGCTAAATAATGTGTCAACAACTGCAAAGAGAATCGGATTCAGGGTGAATATAAATAAAGCCTTTTCGTCTTATGTGCAAAAAGCTAGTGAAATACCTCTTTATAAATTCATTGGTGATTGGGGAAGTGGCAGATTTTAAATACTTTTAAATACCTTGGGTCTACTCTATTACCGAACGGCCAGGCAAAAGACGATACGATACGATATTCCACATCCATATAGGCGTCATCCGTTCGATCTTGCTATATGGTCCTCAGACATGGCCAATGAATGTGAAGAATATTAAGAAGTTATCTGCCTTTGACCATTCTTGTCCAAGGTAAATATTACAGATTCTTCAAGCGGACAATATCACATGATCGCACCCACCGTTCAAATACCACTTGCATTAATAATGTTATCAAAGGGCGTCGCCTTCGCTGGTTAGGGCATGTTTTTCGTCGTCCGCCACAGAAGACCAAGTCCATATATATATGTGTTTACCCTTGCAACCATTGGAGCCAGCCTAACCAGTAATGGTGAGAACCTGTTAAAAGAAGAAGATAGGTTTATTACTGCACTGTCTTGCGATAAAGCAAACGATTTTTTTTTAAATTTTTGTTTTATTACTAATTGAAATTTCTCTATCACACACCTTGATATAAGCCAAACCGCAATGACAATAATCTGTGGAAACCATAAAAATTTCATCCTTAATGTAAAAATTGCGATAATTCCACAAAGGCCGGATTGAAAAGCAAAATATATAAGACCAGCATCGATAACTTCATCAAATTTCGATTCTGGAAAAGATTCTGGCAAAATGCTACCATGATCAGTGTTTGTCGGCATTCCGCAATAATTCGGCAGACGACCATCTTTTCAGTTTATATTAACACAACTTTGAATAAAAGAAAATATAAAGGATATAAAGGAATTTATTCGGTAAGTTTTTAGTTTTTAAGAACATTACAAATCCTTCGTAAATCTGCAGATTTTTTGTTTCCAGAGACATTTTCAAAGGCTCACAGATAATAATATTTTTTTAATTTTTTCTTTCCATTTTCATTTCTTATTTTCGTATTAAAATTTTTGACAAATTAAAATCACTAAATATTTAAAATATTCCCAAGATTCATAGAAACAATTACCATATAAATTTTCCAAAGTTCTTGCACTTTTTTCTATAAAATCTAGGTCATATTTCTAATAAAAACCCCTTTCGTTTAATTTGATACCATATTTCATCATATTTAAAAAAAAAAACAAACAAACCACTATAGTTCTTGTCATATATTTTCTTAATAAAAGCGTAACAGCAATATACAGTAACAATAACCATAGCAAGGACATATAAGAGTAAACACCCTGTTTTCGATGTTCTTTCGAAAAATCCATTATCGATAAATGCAAAAGCACCATGGCACAGATAAAGTAAGGTTTCGAATGGTATTGTATCCATAAAACATCATTTTAGATAAAAATTTTCTATTTTAATATTTTAATTTTATATTTTAATGTTCTAATAAAATTAAATCTATGATAAAGAATTTACTGCATTATCTTCGTGATTCTTCGTGAAGAGCAATTATTACTGTTCTTTAATGCTTGGCAAAAATTTATTCTACTAATGATAATTTAGATAGAAATGTGAAAAATCATATTCACTCTATACATATATATACATACTCATTGGATTAAGGAATTCAGAAGGATGTGAATAAATCGAGGAATTTTAAATTTTTACATAGATTTTACGTGAACATTAAATAAAGAAGGATGAGACTGGTATTTAAGTGAAAATAAATTATTTAATATGATAATATTAAATAAAATTTTTTTAAAAACATATCCGCTCTTAAGGTTTTTTTCTATATCTTTACGGTTGAAACATTCGAATACTGACAAAAAATTTTTTTTGGGAGTGAGTTACTTTGTGTTTAAAAATCCAATTTTATTTTTGCATTTTATTTAATTTTATTTTAATTTTAATTTGCAGAGATTTTATTAATTTATTTATTTCATTTAATTTATTTTATTTGAATATTTTTTATGCGCGATTCGAGCGACAAACAGCCCACATTATCGATAGATTGAATCTAACAGTTAACTTTTATGTTTAATTTTTCTGCAAATTATTTCTGGATTTCATGTAGGCTTTTAGCATAAGCAATAAAAGGAGCTATTTCTATATAGCATTGTGATTTTAGGATTTTACACCAGGCAAGAAAATAAACCACTTTAAGCACTATTCATTCACTTGGAAGCAAAAACCTGTTCCATACTATTCTACAAAAAAACTAATGCACCATTTTGCCCAGTTTTGTTATAACCTAATGTCGTATATTAATGCCTATAATTTGGCGTAAAAGCTAAAAAATCTTTTATCATCTCGACTTTAAACACTGAAAGCATAAACCTTGGTGAAATTCCAATTTTCGCGTTAACAAATGCCCATATATGAGAATCGGCTTCAATTCCGGTTAACGAATTCAGTACATACCTCATAACTATCGTTAAACAACAAGTCGAAAAAATTTCAATAGCCATACTGAAGACTGTTGTACTGTAAACAATTATTGAATTATTAATAAACAATTATTAAACAAAAATCATATTAACATTATCATTATTAAATAAACAAGTTCTGTTAAAATTATATAAAATTCTATCTATAATATAACTCTATAATATAAATAAGAACAATATAAATATGACATGTCCCTTAGCTTCATTTATTAGCATATTCCATACGTATATCCCATCGAAATAAACGATTATCCAAAAAAAAGAATTAAGGAGATTCGTTTTAATCCAATAGAACATTGGAAAAAATTTTTAAGGATAAAACTTTTGAATCGTTAAATCATTTTTAGGATATTTTTTGGTAATTCGGTAAAACTATGTCGAATCTAAGAACTTTTATTTTATTTTCATTGAGCATTTATTCATTTATTTTGCAAATCTTTTATTAATAGCAAATTTATATGAAACCAATTGCTTCATGAAATAGAATGCCTTTTCTCTAGGAGTAATATGTGGAACAATGAAAAACGAAAAAAGGTTGAAGACCAATATATTTCTTTCTTCATTCATCAAGAAATAAGAATTAATTGGCAGAAAAATTCAATTCACTGATAACAATCCATACGAATTATTACTTTTTCTTTTAAAAGAGAATCAACCTACCATAGTCCCTTATAGTTAAATTTCAAAATAGTATTAACGCATAAAAAAGCGATGTTGAAAGATAAAAGCACAGATGTTATTGCCATTGGTTGCATAAATTGCGCAACAATCGCTAAAAAATATCCGACTGTTTGAAACAATAGTAATGAAAATATTTCATTACGTAATGATGGAATAAGAAAACGAATTGCGATAAAGGAAAATGCTTGCAGAAGTAATACAAACTGAAATTTTTAGGATTACAACACTTTTAAAATGCATGATTCTTCATTAGTGCTGGCTTTAAGTTTTACCATTTTCTATATATATGTAAGGAACTTAATGAAAGAAAAAAAGTAATTCTATCTCTAAATTCTCGGGGCCAAACCCCACCCCAGAAGGAGAATGGAAAAAAATTTCCTTCCTACAAAGGATTAAAGTAGAAAATTAAAAACAAAAAACTACTTTTGGTGAAATTCTGGTAACATTCTATGTAAAATTCCGATTAAAATACCTACAAACTAGAAACATTTTTTAAAAATCAAATCCTCATATATTCAAAAGAATATCCAAAAAGAAATAAATACCTGACTGAATTGCCAAAATAGAGCAAAAAAAAATGTCGATAAAACAAATAAAACATTCTTATAAGTTTCTTTAATATCAATGTCACGCTGAAGTGTCATCACCACAAATATATTTTGAATCCAAAGAAATGGAAGAGCAAAATTTTCGCGCAAATTTATCGTGAAAAATACACGTGTACTATCATCCAAGTTCACCACCATCCAGGCAAATACAAGCGGACCGAGAAATTGACTATAAACATTAGTAATTAATTAAATCATGTTTTCTTCGGCTTCTAAATTGCTTTTCATGCAGCTCGCAGCTGGTTATTTACTATGACAGTGATATGTTCAAAAGGTGACTCAAAAACCTTCCAAAATCGTTTCGTAATTTCCGCTAAATTAAACTACACCTTAATTCTGTGATTTGCAATTTTTTAAGGAAAACACTATTAAATAAAGAAGATAGAAAGGAAATCGAAAGCATAAAAAAATGAACGATCACTGATGATTATCAAGCAAAAGATAAAAGACTGACCTTCTGGTGATTTTCCACGCCAATAACTGTAATGCCATAACGGCAAAACCCGAGATGAAAAAACATGAATATACATAGAAAAATATTGGTGCTTGGATATAGCCAGATAGAAAAGAGAATTTAGCCAAAAATTTATACAAAAATGCTAAAATAATTTCCTGATAGATATTAAATCGCTGGAGAATATTGATTTCTCGTGGATATTCTGTACTGAAAATTGTTTAGAATAACTGAATGTGGAATGGCAATAATTTATTTTAAAAATGAATTAGGATTTAAATAAATACGCTGTTTGCGCATATTCTCTCAGCTTCAACTAGCTCATTTGGTTATTAGTATAGTTACGGCGGGAAGAAGGAGAAGCCGAAGCCTGCAGCCTGGCTAGCTCAGCTGGTTGAAAGCCGAGCTCTTGCGTCACGACAATCTAAGCCTTTATTCTTCTCCTTAAAATGGCATGGATTATGGTTTAAGAAACTCGAATTTTTTTCTTCTTTCATTTATATAATTAATAATATTTTTATTATCTGCTAAAATTTCCACCTCATAAATTGTAAATAAGATAACCTGGACTGTGAAAAGAAAATTTTGAATCACAAATTAATTTTATTTTAAATGTTGAATATGGTCTGTTCGCTCTATGGATAAGCGTCAACCCGTCAACCCGAGTAAATTCGTCCCTTAAAACTCCGCTTTACCCACGCCGCTTCCTGCCTTTCTCTCTCAATTTCATTTCATATCCCCCATATGCCCACTGTTTTCATTGTGGGAATAAAATTTTATAAAAGAGAAGAGAAATGATTTCACTTTTTGCACTTTTTTGTTTATTACCATGAAACTCATGGCTTGGGCTCTGCCAGATAATTTTAGAGGAAATATATAAGGAGAACCTTGTATCATGAATTAATTCATTGAAAACGTCGTTTAGGCTCTTATCTGCTGGCACGGCGTTTTTGTAATATGAATAGTAGAGTCCGGCCTCAGTGCGAAGAGAAATCTCTCGCTCGACTTCCTTGATATTTGTAAACCAATATCTTAGTTCATGCAGTTGCTGCATATACCTCGAAAATTTTACGAGTAAAATGCTACGTGAATGTGGCGAAAATAAGAGAATCCTTGGCTAAATCACGTGAAAACCATAAATATTTTCAAAAATGAATATTTATGTTTTGCAACATAATTTACCTTCCAAATAAAACAGCTGAGATGATTGACAATAAAATTTCGCAAAAATTCCACAAATACTTTTTAACAGAATTAAATTTAAATTCATCGTTTAATGATTTTGGTTTTGAAATTTTCTTCTCAATAATATTTGAACTTTTCATCGAATATAAAAAATATTTTAGCGCAAAAAAAACTGAAAACCGACCAATCAATGTTTTTTAATTAAGTGAAATATAAAAGCGATGGTCTTTTTTAATTTTAAAGGAAACCGCTAAAGAGGTTGAACGACGAATCGTTTCTGTCACATAAATATAGAAAGGCGAAAAGGAACGTGGAAAGGAAAGAAGGGTAAAACCGGTGAAGAAGCATTTTTTGGTGCGAAGAATACCTGCAAGATTAAGAATTGTTGTTTAAACCAGTGAACCAGTGTAAAAAAAAATGAAAAAGCGATAAGCGCAACGAAAAGAAAGAATTATGAAAAAATTTTTGAAGGCCGTAGGGGTGCTGAAGGTTCCCCGCATTTCTCCTTAAGTGATGGAAGCAAATAATCAGCAGAGAAACCTCAGGCAAACTGCCACAAGTAAGAAATCATTTGTTATGGTCGATGCAAATGTGAGCGAGCATTCATCATTTTTCTCCTTATCTCTTCATTTCTCTCCTCTTCTCTCTCATACGTTCCTTAATGTTTAACAAGCGAATCGCTAACATTCCGAGGAAACCTCATTCTTTACATTATCGCTTACGACTTTCACGGATTGTTCCTCAATTTCATGCAATCCCAGCAACTTTAAATACAATAAAAGTGGATATAAAAAAGAAGACATCTCGAGGACATAAAGGATAAAAAAATTCCACGCTTTTTTAAATACTGAAATGAAGAAAACTGGACATTTCATTCCATATTTATCAAATAAACTTTAATTCTTTTGAAATTTAATAAAGGTTTCCTTATTTAGTAATTTCTCTAGAAAAACTACAAAAAATTTGGCGACCTTCTCGTTTCATTTCATCGAATAACAACGACGACGATGAATAAAAGTATATAGGAATGAGACCGGTTGAAGGTCACCGTCGTCATCATCACGACAACAAACACCATATTCGTCGCAAACACAATATCTTCCTGGATCTTTACTCTTGCTCCAAGGTTCCGGCATTCTTCTGAGTGAGCACAATCCTCAGCTCAGCATAACTTTAGCCAAATACTATAAATCAAGGGATTCAGGAAAAAAGATTGAAATCGTGACTGTATAAAAATAAGCAAGCAACAACAACTACGAACCTAATAAATTGTAAATTATTTGTATATTTGACCTCTGAAAACAAAATTTGACCTTTGTTTTCCATAAATCATAATATTTCATAGAATTCCTTTCTTCACGCTGTGAGACTAAAACTATTGTAATTGGAATTGAAGCATTTTTAAAAGGAATTCTATTCAGAAAAATCCAGCAAGTTACACGGATATACAAATTAGCCACAAAAAAGGTCAAATTTTGCCACTGGAACAGAATCTTTTCGATGATGCAATAAATTATTCAGGCATTGTTCAATTTAATTTATAGATGTAGTAAGAACTAATGATGGTTAAGCAAGCGCCATATATTTTCACTAGGTTCACCAGGTTCAAAATTTTAACATTTTCTATAAGGCTTTTATTAGGTTCCTGTTTTTTCATTAGACTAGTCTTTAGCCTCCTCTAATGGCGCTCATTTCTGGTTTAGCTTGCTCGACTCACTGTTCGGATGAAATCTCTTCGTTAGAGTTATTTAGAAAGGGAAATACAGTCACCAATGGGGACTTTGTTTTTAACGACAGATCTGTTCTTCCTAAAAAAGTGTGAATCAAATATGATGTCCCTTAGTTTTAGAAGCCATTCTCTCATCGTGTCCCTATTAATGTAAATAAATAATTTTTAAACCGAATGCATTAAAATCATTTTCTGATTCCTTGCTTCATCACCAAAACATTTATGAAAATATTTAAATAAAAAATATTTTTCATATTTAAAATATGAAAATATTTAAATAAAAAATATTGCGAAGACCAGAAAAAGAAGAAAAATAAAAGTTACGTATTATTAATAGCGTCCACATCACATTCCAACTTTTCAGTACGATAAAACCAAAAATTAAAATTTGTTGAAAAAATGGCAATAATTTTTGCTAAAAATTAGGTTTAAATAAAGTTACTTTTAAAGTTCTCATAAAAAATTTTTATTTCTTATACATAATTAATTAAAATTGAAATAATTAGCCTCTCAAATGTAATTAATTTTCCATTTGAACAGTAATGAATTTACTAGATTAACAAAGCATTAAAATTATATTTTATGTTTTACTTTAAAATTATATATTTTATATTTTATAAAGTAAAATTTATATCAAAGCTTTTGGGATATTTTTCCAGCTAAAACTTTAAAAAAACGATTAAAATTATATAAATGAATATATATATATGTTAACAAAAAATATTTCATTCATTACGAAATATTTTTAAAGAACACGAAACAGCAAAGAAATAAATTATTATCACCATTACCACATTAATAATCGTGCTGAGAGGAATTTTCGGCTGTCGAATAATGCCTGAAGAACAATACCCATAGACATTGGAGAAATTAGTTGACATTGAAAAACCCTATTTATTAGTGCTTCTGGACTAAAAGGCTAGTAGTATGACTAGTAGATATACTTAGCATACAAGCAGGCAAATCCACTGATGCAGGGATCTACCACACCAGACAGGATTCTAGATGCAAACTGTGCAAAAACGCTCTGAAACAATCCAACACATAATGATAAAATGCGCAATGTAAAATGCAAGCGAGAACAACTTACTGAAAGGCATAACCATGCAATTTTCAGAAAATCATGGAAAACAACAAGATGAAGATCCTATGGGACTTCGCCATCAAGGCAAATACTGGCCAATCAACCAGATATCGTGGTAAGAAATAAGAACCAGAAATAAGCACTGGTGACATAGCAATATCGGAACATAAGGAAAAAGAAATATGAGAGATTAAAGAAAGAGCTGAAAGAGAAGTTAGAGAAAAATCAAGAAGAGGAAAGCCTTATCGTGAAGCAAGTACAAGATGTGGAAAGTGAAGGCCAAGTGATCCCAGTGAAAATTAAAGCACTAGAAACTGTGACCCTTAAAATAGGAAAATGGCTACGGCAAATTCCATGAACAACATGAAGACCCTATCCAGAAGAGGCTAGGGACGGCTAAGGTGTTGCAGAACCCTCAATCTCCTAGGCCCTGGCACAGGACCCGACGTTGAGGATGACTCTTACCACACATAGGTGATGAAAGGGATTTTCTTTTATAGATATAATTTTAAAAATATAAACGTGAATATAAAGGTATGGTGAGATCATGACGGTAGCATTTAGCTTCGAGTATCTATTCACCTATGGAAATCTGTCTTTCTATCCACAAGCGAACCGGTGTCATCACAATAGCTTTTGAAAGAAGTATGCATAATATTTTTATTACATTGCGTAAAATATAATGCTTTATAAGTTATCAAATCAAATTATTTATTTTTATCAGATTTTTGTTGCCGTTTATTATTTCATTGCTGCAATTATATTTTTGTGCAAAACCTGAGAGCAAATGCTATGTGGTTAGAAGAAAGCGACTGAGCAACGATTTCCCAAGAAGGGTAATATGAAGGGTAAAGGGTAATAGGGTAATATAAGGGTAAAGGGTAATAGGGCAATAAGGGTAATATAAGAGTAATTGCTGCAACTATCGAGTTGCCTGTCTTCTGCTGAGCAATCTCATGGCAGTGCATGATAGCAAGACACGTCCTAATTAAGCCTAATTTAGGCGGGAACGTGGTCATGAGTGTCCAAAGTGTCGCGCTGAGGATATTGGAATAACGTCTCGAGAATCCACAACCTATCGAATAGACTTTTCTGCTCCCTCGGATTTGATCAACAGTGCAAGCAGTACTTTTGCAAGTCATGCAATACAATGGTGTTCCAGAAAAACTAATTGAACTTAAAAAATGATCTTTAAAGCATCAGAGCAGATGTATGTATATGTATATATGTATATGTAGTATAAGAAGCTGGTACAACCTTCTAAAATATGTGCCGCTATGCGTCAAGGGCCATAATCCTTAAAAAATTTTTTAAACTAATATGGGATTTAACTAGTGATATTATGGGATACAAGTATCACCTGCCTGCATTTAAGAGGGGCAAAAATCAGTATAGAGTATAGTATTATATAATATACTAAAGATGTGGTCCTTTTCACTGACAATTACGAAGAACTGTAGCATATACTATCGGGTGTCGATAGCACGAGCGAAAATTCACCTCCAAATTAACGTGAATAAAATTGAAACTCTTTCCGTCCTCTATACCAGATGTTGATAAAGTTAAAATGAATTCACCAGCGATCGAAAAAGCATCGAATTTTAAATATTTCTGATCTCATTCTCATACCTGATGTTGAGGCGTAAGATGAAATTCCAGTTCGGACAGCAGTAGCCAGAGATGCATTCATTCATCTGGCAAACTCCTCAGTGATTGCCGCGAAATCAGCATGAAAACAAAAATTCGCATAAACCCAGCTAAAGTACGTGCAACCCGGCTACATTATTGAGAAACTCTGCCAGTGAGAGTGGAAGATATCAGGAAGCTATCTGCCCTTGACGATTTTCCTAAAATATATCCTACGTATATCCTATATATTCACCACGTCTCATATGAGCAGACCCACCTCTCAAATCTGCATTAAAAATATCGTCACAAAGCGCCCGCTGGTTAAGTCATGTCGCCTTCGCCCTCCGCAGGAATTCACGCATCTCGCTGCTTGCCTGAAACGATACGACCAGAGGAGCTTTTGAAAGCATGGGCATTAGGTTCTGAAAAAATTAGTGGCTTCAGTTACTTTCAGGACTGCCACCGGGTGGGAAAACATGGCAGCCAGCCAAACCTGCAATGATGCAAGCTATAAGAAGAAAATGATTTCTATCGTCATTATTATTTTTTTAGTTGCTATTATAAATTCTCGTTATTTTTGCATTATTTTAATATTTGTTAATATTATTATTATCATTTTCAACAAATTCCTAATTTATTCCCATAAATATTGTATAGTTACCGTAACCGCAACAATTACGTCAGCAAATACCATAGCA